GACGCATACTGAAAAATATGATGAAAGAGCAATATATCAGCCGGTAAACATTGTTAATTACTTAAATTATTACTTTCTTATAAAGTATACTCAATCCTGAAAATTCAGTTACAGGGTGAAAACTGTAGTAATGATAAAAACTAACTAAATATTATTTGACCTAAGTATTGGATAATCCTAGGTCTAGCCGTGCAAAAAAAAAAGCAAAGGTAAAGTATTTGCACATTTATTTAATCAAACAAAAAAAAAGAAACATTTTGTCTGAAGGATCATTTTAAGGTATTGAAAAGAAAGTCTTCTGTCTGAAAATGTTGTTGTTTATAGGTAGGTATAAATATTAATAAGCGGCCTGAAAAAGATGGTTGACCTACTAGTTAAAGGGTTTATTTTCAATTTATTGACGAGTAAAAATCTCTTATCACCTAGTGATACGAAAAATAATTTACGTCCCATTTTCAGACCTACTGAATACGCACAAAATTGTATAAGAATTGGTCTAGTCGTTTTAAATAAATATAATAAATAAATTATATCCTTGGACATTTTGCACTGCGCCTCGTCTGAAATTAAGCAAAGCTTGTAATATGGGAACAAGACCATGTTTTTTTTGTAAGAGTTGTTGTTTACACGAGAATTTTGTTTATTAGAATACTGGTACTGATAAATTCTGACATTCCAATCCCGACGCCTCGAATGTTTCTTGGGAATCCAAGACAAATAGATTACCGAGAAGGTCTCCGTAATTAAGTTCACAGCTCAGTCCGCGAGGAAATACGCTAAAATTCTATTTACCACGCAATTACTTTTCCATTAACATCTTATACGTTCAGCAAATATGCTTATTTTTGAGATCAAGAAATTAATAATTAATATTTATAGCTCTCCTTAACAGCCATTCTGATTAAAAAAAACTGTGCTTTTTAACGTTACGTTTTTATACTAACGAGATAAAAGAATCAAATAATTTCGAAAGAATATCATTTTGACTAGCACTTATAATAGGCCTTTTTATTTCATGTACCAGCTGACCCGGCGAACCTCGTACCGCCTATGTTCATCAGAAATAATGTAGATTTCTAATGGTGACAGAATTTTTCAAATCGGTCCAGTAGCTTCGGAGCCTATTTCACACAAACAAACAATCAAATATTTCTATCCTCTTTCTTATAAGTATTTATGAAAGGCATTAGGTTAGTTCCTACTGTATGTATACTGCATAGTAGGTACCTCGTGATAACTGTTCAAACAATTCTTCAGTTCTCTATTGCTGTTCTAATTAAGACCTAAAATACATTTGATTTACGTCATAATTCAATAACAGAAATCTTACAATAACACTTTAATGCCGAGTAACTGTGCATAAAACTGCATCGTAGACCGTAGTCGTTCGTTGCATTTTATCTCCGAACGCGAAGAGGCCGATGACTAAATAATGACCGGACTAACGCAGTTTTATTACCGGCTCCGTGTTGCGAATATATAAATGAACCCTCCAGGGAGTGTTAAACACGCCGAAGAACTGACGAAATAAGTCGGCCTCCCCGAAATTACGCCGTAAACCGCCCTACCAGTGAGACGGCTATGTTGCCGCAAAAAATAATAAGAATTGTATAAACAGTTTGTATTACTTCAAGTTTATGCTCTCATTCTTGTAGGAGATATTTTCAATGTATTTTTTATTGTGCATACGATAGGAAGTGGCTCGCAGCGCAATGCATAGTGCAGTTATAGTAGCAGTACTACTATGTACCTACAGACCACAGCATATCAGACTATACATTTTTCTTGCAAATTTGCCCATATTACAACTACATAAGTGTTACCTTAGTGTTTAGCTTGATATGCCGTTGTCAGTACTTAACTTGAGGAAAATGTATCTAGTCACTACAAAATGGTTAGGAAGATGGACTATGGATCTGGAGAAATGGATCTTATTTTCTAATAGCACAAGTTCAAAGAATCCTGCGCAAGAGATACTGTAATTCCGTGATCATGTTCAATAATGCCATATCGTTTCTAATAAGCTTTGTCAATTTTACACATAAGTTAAAACAAGAATAAAATGTCTCAGTAATAACACTATCATTTCACTTTGCAATCAACGATAGATTTTAATACTCAAATTACAAGGGTCATAGGTGAGTGCGAACTTTGATAGGACTTATTGAACTTCAACTTGCCTGTTGGCGCGAAATACACAAAACCCATGACAATATAAATACTTTTACGACTTCATTGATTGTCTAATGAATAAAACGTTCCGTAGAGACACAGGGCTGTTAAAATCTACATGCCTAAAATAAATATTTTTTGAATTAAAAATACATGTTATTAAAGATTTTCAAACAAGTTTACAGAAATCTAAGAAGCTTCCATGACCTGTAAAATCATGGTAACTAAAATGCCTACATACACCTATAAAGTGATTAAGTGAAAATGTGTTGAAAGCAAACAACGTCTTAGCATATTTAAGCGAACATTAAGCCTCGAGTACGAGCAGGAATTAGTTTATTTTATGCATTTAATAATGCCGGCTCTCTGTGCCGGTTCNGGAGATATTTTCAATGTATTTTTTATTGCGCATACGATAGGAAGTGGCTCGCAGCGTAGTGAATAGTGCAGTTTTAGCAGCAGTACTACTGTGTACAAACCACAGCATATCACACTGATTGGAGAAATTGGATCTGATTTTCTAATATAGCAAGCAAATTACGTTGAGAATCATTTGCAAGAGATTCTGTAATTCCTTGATCATGTTCAATCATGGCTGATCGTTTAGAAACCTCCACAATTTTTAGTATGTGTTGTGCCTATAAGAATCTAATCAGTAAAATAAAATCGATAGCAAGATAGACTAAGTGTCTCAGTAATAACACTATCATTTCAATTTGCAATCAACGATAGATTTTAATACTCAAATTACAAGGGTCATAGGTGAGTGCGAACTTTGATCGGACTTATTGAACTTCAACTTGCCTGTTGGCGCGAAATACACAAAACCATACACAAAACCAATGACAATATAAATACTTTTACGACTTCATTGATTGTCTAATAAATAAAACGTTCCGTAGATAGACAGGGCTGTTAAAATCTACATGGCTAAAATAAATATTTTTTGAATTAAAAATACCTACATCTTTTTAAGATTTTTAAACAAGTTTATAGAAATCTATAAGAAGCACCCATGACCTGTAAAATCATGGTACTAAAGTGCCTACATCCACCTATAAAGTGATTAAGTGAAAATGTGTTGAAAGCAAACAACGTCTTAGCATATTTAAGCGAACATTAAGCCTCGAGTACGAGCAGGAATTAGTTTATTTTATGCATTTAATAATGCCGGCTCTCTGCGCCGGTTCAAATTGTGATTCCACGGTGTTAAAATATTAAAACTTTAATTGTATTCCGACGCCCGACTCCATAGCCGTAAAGAAGCGAGCGAGGCGCTCAGTTGATACACTATTAATGCAATTGTTCGAAAACAGAGCGAGGCAATAAAATTTAGCCTTCAGGTAGAATATTCCGCCCCACTTCGCCGCCATAGCAATAATTTTTCGCATTGCGGATTTCGAGAACTAAACGTATTTCATTACTTTATTTTACGTTCCCTACGACAAATGTTAACGGTTTTAATGATAGATGGTTATAAATTACGAAAAGGCTGCCATAGATATTCATCCATGGTAATAAAGAGAAAACGTAGGCAATGGAAACTCTTGCTTACGTTTTTATTTTTGCGGTTCGGTTTATGGGTTCCTTATTTGATCCGGAGTCTTAAGGCCCGTCTTCGTCGATATATTGATTGGCAGATGTGCTAATTTATAGCCTTTGTACTATTGTAGCCATGCAGAACAAGACTTCATTTGTTATTATGAAACCAAAACAACTAAACTTTTGCACTTTACAACCAAAGACAGGTTTACAAAAGTTACTAGAGCCGTAGAAAGTTCGATGTCAATGTCGTCGGTCTTATTGGTTTACAATATCATATCACCAAAGACTGGTGCGGATTATACCTTTGTCGCTTATCTCGCGAGCGAAACGAGTAATAATCGAATCGAGAAAGTATCTTTTGAAACAAACAACAATCGGCAATATTTGCTGATAGCTCCATCCATCCATCCATTTAAGCCTGAGACGCAAATGGCAAATGCATCACAGCATCATCGTTTGCGACGCCCCAACTTTTCGAATCGACTCGAACTGTACCTACTAACCTCTAGCACGAAAAACTTTCTTCTTCGAATCGTTTGCGTATTCGACAAAGTTCGATACCCAGCCTTCGAATTCAACGATAACGTGACGATCTCGATTGTCAAAATTAGTTTCGTGCTACCATTTCTTATACGTTAAGGCGCTATTTAAGTTTTTATACTAATCTTTCGATAGCGATTCGAATACACAAACAATTCGAAGTCGAAAGTTTTTCGTGCTAGAGGTACTGAAGGCATTTCCATTTTCAACTCGCACTAAGCCGGTCCTGCACCGAAACAGCATCAAACAAAATTGTTTTGCTACTGTATTCATGAAGAAAAGACTGTTCAATTCGACGTTAATAGAAACTCACATTGTAAACGTAGATATACCTACTACACTCGTACAAGGTACAACTTACACATATCACAGTATAGGTACATTATTGTACATAAGTATTATGACGTATACTTACGTTTGTAAACTTTGCGAAAGAGACTTCTAATCATTATAGTGATAGTTCTTACTCTACTTTTTCCTGCCACCAGGTCATATTATTGTCCCAAAACAGAGTTTCTAAGATTTTTCTATAAGGAGGATATTGTATTCCTAAGTTTTCTGTTATTTAATAGTGTAAGAATAAAAGATGCATTGTAATGTAAATTACAAGTACTTAATACCTGAAAAGGGAAAAAGTTAGGCTTGAACAAATAAAACAAAATATTGACAATAATTGGTATTATTCATTAATAAAAAGTCTTATTTATTTACTTTGTAGCAGCGAGCTATCGTCTTGTATCTACATTTATCCTTATTTACATGACATTAAAAATTAAATAACTTTTTAACAATAAAATATGTCCAATAAAATTATGACTGAAAAGCTACATTAAGACTTCCTACATATTAAAACTAACTCAAGAAAATAATGACGTTTTACGAGAGACGTTTCAAAAATTGGGTTAGGTAATCACTAAATTAGTCCTTTACGTTAATTTAAAGATGAGGAAATACAGTACTTTTCATTTCTGCTTTGGAACTAATCATTATTTGGTAATCCAAAGATTGGAAATCAATTCAACTGTTCGTTCGCTCTCTCCGCATCATCTCATTTTTCGACTTAGCGCAAGGCAACGTCAAGCGGAGAAATAGTTTTGACTCGAAACGAGAACAGAGTAGGTATTTTTTTAAGATTTCGTACAAGCGACAGTACACGAAGCTTTAGCTTGATTCCTATGTTTACATAGGAATCTTATGCAGTTGTAATAGGGGCGAATTTGGAACAGAATTGTATAGTCTGATGTGCTGTCGTATATTACCAAATATTTGTATGCACGTACTACTTGACTGGCTGTCCTTAACTAAGCCTTTTCTCAATAAGTTAATGACGTTTGTGGACAATCCAGGGGACGTAGTGAGTTTACGTCAAACGCATTCGATGTCGATTACTTAAAAAAGTGACATTAAATGTATGACGGATTGTACAGCGCCCCTAGTGGAAACATTCAAGAACTAAAATCTTCATATATTTTTTAACGCGCTCGCTAGTGACGTTTGATGTAAACTCACACTAAGCCCTCAGTTGATAGCGAGCTGGTGAGAGAAGTAAATAAATGTACAGATAGGACCAGGACCGCAAATGTTGTACTTTACACGATTTTAAATTACATATTTCAGATAAAGGCGTTGGAACTCAATTTCGATTCTGAACAGCCTGTCTAGTTGTTTATAAAGTCTGTTTGTTAAATTTCCAATCTAATTGATTGATCTACGCTTATTGTAATTCTTATTAACGTATTATTTACAAAAATATTAATGTGAGGAAATTAAAAACCTGTAAATATTATTGACTCCAAATCATGCGTTACACTTGTCTGCCAATTAAATAAATTACAATGTTAAATTAAATATTTATTTACAAAACAACATCAATTATACATCTGATAAAATATCTTTGGAAACATTTTTGTCATGAATGTGAAAATAATTCATACATCACTCCCATGTTGCCGATAATAAATCCCCTGGATATAATTATTATTATTTACAATTTAATGCGGATAGGCCAATTTTAATGTAACTGCCACAATTAAAATAATGTTTATTCAACTAAAAACAAAGACACATGACTTGTTTACGAAAATAATGGGAGAGTATAGTAGTTAAGTTAATTTAAAATGAGTCATCGAAATTTAAATAATAAAAATATTACGTATGTACGTCTTCTATATAAAGTATTACATGTGTCTCAATCTGTTTTATATTCTTGTTACTTACAGCAAAATAGTTTTTTACCACTTCTATAATTTTCATATTGAATACAATGTTTTACGTGAGAAGTATTATATTATTTTAGTAATTTTCAATGGAAAGTCATTTCTAAATAATTAGTATAAAAAAGTAAAAACGAATTTGTACCAAGCTGGAAATTTATAGGGATAAATTAAAAACAAATATTGTCCCTTTTTTGTATCCTTAAATCCTGAAATTTTACAACTGCTACTGCCTAATTTTAAATACAAATGGAAAATTGGAACAAACTATGGAAATTCTAAAATAGAGCTCACTTAATGCTATCTTAGTGAAGTGCCTACTTATTGGAAATCTACATTGATACCATTTCTAACAGATTAACTGCAACTTAAAGTAGTATTGAGCAGGGCATGACAATATTACTACAAATACTTCTACGTCCCGTTACTTAGATTGTAAAAAACTTTGAAAATACCTAGTGATTGGTTTCAGCTGTTGTCATTCAATGACCGTTTGAGGTTTTTAGATATTTATTGTACAGACGACAAATAAAGCCAAACACTGTGGGTCTAAGCGTTTAATTTAATCACTGCCTGAGGTATAAGAGCAGCACGAAAGGGTGTTTTTGAGACGTCAAACGTCTGAGAAACTTCAGATTTGTATGCTCACGTCATAATATGTCAATGTCACGGGTCACCCCTCTCGTGCCGCTCCCATACCTCAGGCACTGAGTTAAGTTAGACCTAGAAATATTTGTATAAATTGTTGAGTGTTTTACCATAACTTTCTTTTCTATACATTTCAGTACAATTTGGACGTGTATATTTTGACCAATATTTTTATAAAAGAAAGAAGAGAATAGCCCTTTCTTTGGTCACATTTCCTCAATACATTCCAAAAACACAATTTGGCAGTTTTTAATAGGAGTAACATTCAATTGCCTCCATAATTTAGACACAAGTCAGTTGGGCTAATCCCCAATAAAAAAGTGGAACCTAATAATATAATATATGTCTTCTCATTCGCAGTACCAAGTGGTTCTTCTGGTTTTCTTCTCTCCAGAACGGTTGACCTCCCCTGGCACTCCGCGGAGGGAGTTATCTGGAACCAACAAATAAACAAATTAATAACAATTTTAACAAAATTAGTCAACACATAAAGAAAGGAGATAACGAATAGAAGAAGAAATCGAGGAATCGAGAACATTTTACCAGATTTAATCATGAATATAATATAATATCAATAGAAGCTTTAATCATGAATATAATATCTGATTTAACTGATTTAATCTTTGGCACTTAACTTACTACCTCTATAATAAATTTAAGAATGTACTTTAATTTAAATTTAAATTTTAATACAAAATTATATAAACAAATATTTCAGATTGATATTCTCAGCACCAAATACCAACAGCGAAAATATTAATTAGACACAGTATTTATTACGTTATCAGATCACACTAAGTTAATTCATTTCTTTCTCCAAATTCTATCAGACCTGTTCACCAAAAAAAGTAGAATGCAAAAGTAGTTTTCTATGTAAATGTTCCTCATAATATATTCAGATAATCTTCTACCAACACAAAAACATAGATAAATACGTATGCACGAGAAGATAACATGATGTAGTTTCATTAACATTCGTGAAAAAGGGTAGTCACAGAAAAAGTTTTCACATTTTACCAGTCCACAGATAAGGAAGAATACTGTACAGTTAGCCGAATAATTTCAAAAAGAGAACGTGTGTGAGATATTAGCGCTATAACGGCAAAGGTACAAATGACATAGAAACGTATTTAATTGACATTATACAAAATAGTTACGCTTTTTTTTCCCTTTCCTGAAACTGCGCATTTTTTTCATTTGACATAACTAATTACAGTCTTCTGTTTAATACTTGAAATAGAAATAATCTGAATTTGAGCTGTTTAAAATCTTATGCAACCAGAACCAGTGACATTTATTGACCTAACTTTAATTCACAAAATTTTAGTAGTAGACAAAACAACCTTATTTCAATTATAACCAAGACGCGTTGCTAACTTTCTAGCTACTTTGGGTGTCTGTAACTATTTGATGCTGACTGTACCTCCTCCTTTTTTGAAGTCGGTTAAAAATAAAGCGAAGTGTTCGTCCACTTTTAAGGTCTGTACCAACACACAAAAAGCACTGTTCCCAAGCAAAAGTAAAGCCAAAACCTTATAATTGTGAGCAAGCCCATTTACTGACCTACAAGTAATTCATTGGGGCAAGTTGATGAGAACGTAACCGTTTACAAGACCTGGTGGAAAGATTTCATGGGTTTATATTATCTTTACTCAAAATTATTATAAAATAGTGTTTAAAGAAGAAACCATAAATTAAAGATTAGACGCTCTTCATAGACCAAAACAATCCGAAACAAGTAATCAAAATACTGTACATAAGTGATTCAAACAAAGAATTTGGAATAAACGTCGCATTACTTACTGTTAATTAATTAACTTCATTTACTTATTAAACATTGATTACATTTATTGATATGACAGTACTATGTTAAAAATAGTTGTATTTAACACTGAATCATTCACATCCTCTGCTATTTTTAAACACGTTTATCAATTAGTATCTACTTTTAACCAAAGGCAAAATAATTCTTCATCAAAACGGAAATGTGTAGGCAACAGACAAATTGCACATTGTAAAGTAAACGTGACCTTATCATTTAGGTGCATGTGATACCAGCTTAATAATATTTAAGCTCAGTGCGCCCAAAAGTGTAACACTACATGCTCTAGCGCTATCCAATACATAGAGCGTAAGGAAACGGTTGACAAATTCTAAAACAATTAATTTAAAGGCTTTTCCCGGATTTAAGCGACACGTTTTCATTATTATTTTTTCACTCTTTATTAAACAAAATAATCGTTGTCGTAAGTTTAGTTTCTTACAGTTAAGTATAGCCATTCATTATGTTTTTTCACTTTAAATCGATTGACTGAAAATTAAGAATAACGTATCATCAATAATACTTGTACGTAAAATTCCAGACAATGTTCGAATATATCAGTAGTTGCCAACCAATCGCTAGCGCCCTGAATAATATCATGTATCACTTTTGTAACATAACTTTAATGGCGCTGGTACACTATGCGCGAAATTAATCGGTAACAGAAAATGTAAACACGCATTCCAGTTACTTTCGCCGTGCGTCGCCCATACTTCGGCGTGCGTGTTCGCACTTCTATTCGATCAATTTCTCACAGTGTACCTGCGCCTTAATATGTTAATGCAGTGTTATAACGTAAATATGCTCACATTTGTCGTCATTCTTGTCATCCTCGCTGGACTGCTGGGACGCCACAGACATCCGCTTTTTGCGCTGCTCCAGCAATAACTCTGGAATTTAAATTACGCACATATTAGTATGGTTCCTAAAACCTGGACGACTACATAAAATAATTATAAGATTTTTTCAGTGTAGGCAACTTAACCTAAATTATTAGGCGGATTTATCGAGCGTATCATTTTGTTTACGACGAAGCGAAAGATACGTATCCTTAAGAGATAAGATTCACACTTGTAAAGGTGCGAGTTAATGAGAATAGCTTTATTGTTATAACATAAAATATAACATTTGATCCTAATCTATGCGTTCTTGACATGTTTATACCTGATAAATAAACACTTATCTATTTAATTAAGTTAGCTTAGTCATAAATTCGGAAATATTTTTACACGCCACCTCAATCCAACTAAAATTGGAATCTGATCTATGATCTGCTTCAATATAAATTAATTTATGTTATCTACGTTATATTTAAATAAAGATTAGGCAAAGGCCACTAAAATAACTTCCGTGAATCGCCCTATCAGTTGGCCACCTCCAAGAAAAACATAGCACCTATCTCTGTAATGACTCTACCATGTACTCGTAGATAAACACTATCGGGACAGTTCGCTGTTGATAATTTGTACCTACCTACAGGGTGTCCCAGAATGGGTGAATCAAACTGATAGCTCTACTAATGTACTATCCCTAAAAATATAAAAAAAAATAAAGCGCATAAGGACACAAAAAAAATACTTTTTTGAAAAAGTGAAAATAAATCAGCTTTCCCTAAGTATTTGACTATAATTGCTGCGTTTGGAGTTTATTTGTACTTTTTTCTTACCTACTAATATCAATTGTACATGATCGCTTCGTTTATCTGTAAACAAACTTTTGAAAATAATGACTAAATTTCGAGTTTAGAGCACATTATTTAAAAAAAAGTTCCGAACTCAAAAATTTTTTTTCGTATGTTTTAGGGATAGTACATTAGTAGGGCTACCTCCCCTAGCAGTTTGATTCACCCATTTTGGGACACCCTGTATAAGAGCGACATATAGTCCTGAAAGAAGCAATTATTCACTCATTTCTTACTTTAAGGCTGAGTAGCACCACTGTACTTTAACCGTAACTATAAACATAATAATTGATGTTTTTTGTATGGAGTTTGACATACTTTTGACGTTTGTTACAGTTAAAATAAGATGGTGCAACCCAGCCTAAGATGTTATATTGCCCAATTTTAATTCACCTCTAAGCAAAACATGTAATCTGATTAAGAATGATAAGGGGACAAAAGTTACGAAAGTAGCATTTAATTTTGTACATACTAATATAATCTTGGGTTGCACCATTTTACAATAACTTTAACAAACGTCTAAGTTCCGTCGAAATCCATGCGAAAACCCCAGTTATAGTTATAGTTACGGAAAAAGTTATGGTGGGTAAACTTATGCTAAATAATAGTAGGTATTAGTAGTAACGGACAGTATTGTAGTGACAGTATTGTAATTGCAGTATGGCCTAATACAGTGCCCATGTAAGAAAAGTTTACAGTAAATTCAAGAATAGGGAAGGCATATTTATTGAAATACTTATGTTAAAGTGATATATTTTTCGGAAAATCTGAAATTATTGATTTTTTATACACAGCAAGCATTGCTTTTTTATTTCTTGCCTACTTAATCCTTGCGACAATAAGGTACATTCTCGCATAATCAAATTAGATATAATGTAATAAGAGCAACGCCCTCAATAAGTATTATTTGCCTCCACCAAACCTCAGCTGTCCATCATCTTGAGGACATGTGCTGCGCAGAACACAAGTGCGTCTAAAAATAAAGCGACTAGAATTATCACTCGCAAGGCCCCGTCTGATAACGATAACACAGGTACTCAGTAGACTTGCGCCACGTTAATGTAAGAACAAATAAAACCACTGAAATTAGGTCCTGATTATGAAATCCAGTAGCGGACTAAAGAATGTGGTGGTAGGAATGAAGGAATGACGGTTATAGTGCAACAAGGCCATTTATATGAGGGGAGATTTCGAATGTCATTGCAGAATGCTAGAATGACTATAATATTCATCTGGAGGCCTGAGACACGGCTTGAGAGTATTAAATTAACTTTTAAAAAACTAAAATGTATGTAGAGTAACGTTCATCAATGAACTGTTTAGTTTCATTGATGAACTTAAGAATTCCTAATCATGATCCGGCAGCAATAGGTTCCATTAAAAAGTATTAAGTCGCCTCTGCAATAAAAGCATTTCCTATTTGAGGCGTGAATCGAAAAATATTCATGATGCTATCAAAAAATTGCCTTTGTTGCACTAAACGCCATCCGCGAAGTGGGTCACGTCAAAATATCACCCTCAGCTATAGATACGGTGTTATTATAATATAACTTTAGACAGAAGGCTCTCTCTCTAATTAACTTGTATAAAAACACTCGATAGTAAATTGAACTGCAGCTGCTCGAGTTGACCACTAACAGGGAAAGATGGCGAAACATTAAGACGAGCATTATCCGCCTGCAACAAATTCTTGACTCTTGACGACCGAAAAAAAGAGTAATTGAAATTCCTGACCAATCAATAGAAGGACCACAAAGATCCTTTTATTTTTTACCTGTGTTACATTAATATGGCTTAATTGCTTACTACAAAACTGATTTTATACATATGCAGAACAAGACGGATTTGACCGCAATCGCAGTGATGTTAAGTGAGTTGCATTCTAGAATATTTACAATACTTGAAAATTGCCTATATAAAATTAGTTACTATTATTTCATAAACTAGGTGTTGTAACAATGTCGTGTACCTATGCGTAAATTCGTGCTTATAAACTCGTTATGACTCACATGCGCGCGAGTCACACGCAAACCCCCTTAAACAAGCGCGTGCGCACATAATTATCAAAATACTTTAAACGATGCAGTAGCCTAATGACTGTATGACATAAATAAATGTAGGCGGCAGCGCTTCATTTTAGTGGGTGTACAAGGAAAACCATTATCTGACCAAAATCTTCGAGAGAACTGATTTTAAATAATATGAACCAGCGATGGCTCAAAAATTAGGGACGTAAAATTTAAGTGAGCCAAACATATTTCGTAAGAACCGCTTGTTTTTGTATGATATTCCCATCATTTCCATCAACAATTGACAAATTTCAACAAGTTTACCAGTTAGGCACAGTTAATATAATGGCTGAAGAAAGGGCTTATTAGAAGAGCTCAGCTGTGGACAGAGCATAATTAATCAGATTGCTCCAACTGCAATCATATCCACTGTGTAGACACGGACGAGACCGATGCTATTGTTGATAAACCCGGCACAATAGACGGACGGCGCGCGGCCACTGCGGAATTATTGTTATGGTCGCCGCTATACACACAGAAACAATAACATCGGAATTTGATAGAGCGAAGTGAATCATTCGATTCGATAACCGGCTCAGCAAATTAACTCCGCAACTCGAGCGTCATTTGTTTCGGATGTCGGTGCACAATTATTTATTCATAAATTGATAGTTTTATTTGATTTCACAGATTGAACGCGAATGCATATTTTGAACTCTTCATTTTAATTTTAACAATTGAATTGAAATTAAACTTTCACAGTATCCGAAAATAAGCTACTCGTATGAACAAAGGTTACAAATTAACTATAGTTAAGCATAGCAAAGAGATGAAACAAAAACCCTACGCCATAAATGAAATGAACGGCGGTAATACGATCGCAATCGCAATATGACTCAGATGTAAGCCGCGACACGTTTTCCAATGTATTTCGCACTAGACAAAAGCCTATTGTGCTATTTGAGGAAACAGCGAATGTCGCTAAATAGCTCTGAAGTAACAAAGAAACGCGTTACCAGAAAGATTTAAATGCCAGTTTACGCTTATCGACGTAATCTCAGCGAGGAATGTGGCATTGTAACAGCGAGAGTTCGAAACGATCACACTTTCGTCGGAGCGCTCCCTTGTGCTGTTCCTATCTAATTTTATCAGAGAGCAACATTCGTTTATGGAACAACACATTTCGGTGTGTATGTAATAATAAAAAACAAAAGCGGAGCACCCATAACAAAGCGTGTGTGATCATTTTTGTTAAAAATTCGTACGTCACAACAGCTCCGCAAAAATTGCGAACAAAAGAACATAGCGTATGAGTACGTGTGCAAAACAAAAGCGATGTTAGAGAAAAGGCGTCGGGTTCCTGACGTTCCCGGTTCCCACAGATGCAAGTGAGCGCAGTGCACATGCGAGTCGCAAGTGTCCAATAAAAAGTCAGTCGTCGACCCCGCGTGCGTCAGCCGCCGATAAAGGCCTCCACTCCTTCCGTCACGTCCCGCCGGGGAGCAGATGACGATCAATTAAAAAGTTTGTCCGCATTAACTATGCGGGAATTAGTTCGGTCTTGCGTGCCAGATGGACTCAACTAGTTTCTTTATGAGAAACAGGCTTAAGTAAACCCTAATCAGAACCCTCGAGAGATCGACGACCCGAGCTGTGAGGTGCATTCTAAACTCAGATAACCGCACCTCGAAGCAGTTAATTTAACTTTATGGCTTGTTTTAAGTTTCGTCAAGTCTCGAGAAGCCGCAGTATCTCAGCGTGCACTTCGAGCTAACGAGTACACAATGTGATTTGAGCGCAATGACATAATTCCCTCGGACGTGCTATTTCGAGGTTGGCGAATTGCATAACGATCTATTCATCTCTGCATTGTTTACTGCTGAATGCATTATTCCGTGGTTGCGACTTCAACGACTTGCACCGGTGAAGTATGAGACACCCCGGGATATTTACGACCAGTCGTAAACACATCACGACAAAATCGAAGAAAATACATTTCGGATGTAGAGTTTCAATCTATGAGGAGTATTGAAATATGCAATTGAAATATGAAACTTTGTTTTAAAAGAAGTAAAACAAAAAACCATTTATTTTATTCATACAGAAACGAGGAATAAAATTTGCTTGTCATTTTGATATTTTATCGATCAATTAGCTTTTATCGGACACAAAATCCTACTGTTATTGCAAATACAACAGATTTCGTATGAAAATACGCACACGTAGGTTGATATAATCAATCATGATTTTGAATATCGACTTGTAAAGTATTATGTAAAATATTGAACAAGTTTTTATTAATGAAACTGTTCTTATGCCAGCGAGGATTATTACAAAAAGGTGGGCACTTAGTTTTTTTTGTGCGAAAGCTACACATGTGCCTCGATAATTAATAGGATATCCGTTATCTCCCCAGCCCTTGCACATGCGTTGTTTTAAGTGCTTCTAAAATGCACATACTCAATTTTGATCACTTGAAGCCTTTGGTGCCAAAATCACTTAGTATAAAATCCTTGATCAGCAATATTTGAATAAGTTTTGCGTTAATATCAATGTTGCAAAAAAAACTAATAAACTCTGTCCCGAGCTTGTTATCATTCTTTTTTCGTCCGGATATTATGTCATCATTTGTCATACACCATAAAAATGTTTTTTAATCTGGGGAAAATCCTGAATTATCTGAGGGAAAAACCTCATTGGTTTGGTTGGTAAAATACTTCCTATCTATCCTACATCTATACTCTTCAAACCAGTGACTTTCACTTACTATCCTACCGTTGTATTATTATCAGTTAAGCATTACCTAATTGTCAAAAGGGACTATTTTCGTCGACCATACATTGTCTAAGAATACGCAGGAAACTAATTTTACTTCGCATTAAGACTTTCTGAGTACTCAGTCAATTACAATTTCAATGGTAGTTTAGTTACTCGTCACAAAAATCATGCCTTAAAAATGCAACACAAACTGTCTGATTACACCTAAAGTGTCGTTGATTCAGGCATTTTCTATCCACAAGACGTAAATAAGTACTAGTCTTTATTCTCCATTTCTTACCTTTCTTCTTCATGGCCTGTTCCCACAGCAGGGAGGTTATCTCCTCCACCCACGCGGTCCTCACGGCTGGGTCCTTATTCTCCAACTTGTAGGACTTCAAATTCCTATTCTTGTACCATATTGTAAACTTCAGTGCATCATTCTCTTTGGCAGTTATGCCCAAGTCTTCAACTTGGATGTGGTCTTTGTAGATGTAGTACTCCAACCTTTGATGCTGAAAAGGAAAAAGTTTTTTCGTTAAAGAAGGATTTCTAACTCGATTTCATTAGCTTTTTTGCCCGGAAAGTGAGTGAACGTTTCCTTTTAATTTCTTTTTTTCGCATCAATATACGGATGACGGCACATTTAGTTGAATACTAACAAAAATGTTCAGACTGAGGTGACTGAATGTTGCAAGAAAAAGTCAAAGAATATTAGCCTAAATTAAGGTTATTTTTCTACCTGCCTCATACACTCTATGTATACTTAATCGATACTTAGAATTAGCACTATGATTCTCATGAATCAATCGTGTTCATTACCGGTAACACTATCTTTCTCCCACAATTAGCGAGCTCTATTATTATCGGGTGCACTAACAATAACAGCGTTATGGGAATACCTGTCTATAATACCAAGACTGTAATCATACGCCAACGATCCTACAAGAAAATGTCTCATTACGGGTCTAATTCGTACTTGATTGGTGCCAAGAGCTAGTTCAATGTTCAACAGGTAAAATAAGAGTGTGACTATTATAATATACGTGGCATACAACAACGATAGACAACAAGATTGAGGTTGATTGGTTGGAAAAGCTGTGTATTGATAACGGTAATAAACTTTCACAGAAACAAAGAGCCAGAGAAATAAAATTTATTTAAAGATTGTACACAATGGCTCAAGACTTTTTGGTCGGTATTCTCGACCCATTTTTTGATTATGAAAATTATTTCTTCAATAAATACCTCACTTAGACTTTCTCGCTCTATATAAGAATCTATGACAATGGGTATCTAATATCTGCGGTTACTAATACCCGAGCAAACTTGCCAAGTAAGAACCATTACATACATGGCACATGTTAATAAGTCATTGGTATGCTCTCAAACGTTCTGCATCGAATACCAATCGACCCCTAAATCATTACGTGGCATAATAGAGCGTAATAACGCGAACATCCCACATGATGTATTTCCTGTGTCGTCTAACAGCTGAAATCGGCGATGCATGGATAATTAGCTACTGACCGCTCTCGGCATTGACAAGGTCAGTAGCTCTCGCTCGGGTCATAGTACAGAAAAGTACGCTACTTCATTTTACTATGTTCTCCTGATTAATTTCGGGTCCAATGACAGTTTAACAAACTTGACCTTCACTGGTTAGGTTTTTATTGGCGGTCAAGCTGTAAGTAGATCTACACAAGTGTTGCAGCGTTGGGAAAGAGAGGTGGGAATAGTCCCTTATCTACATCATTTTACTCATAATTTTTTCACGAGAAAGAAGACAGGCTTATCTTCTCCTACCTCATAAACCATTTACTGTCTGTACTTTATTTACTCTAAGGCTGAGATGCATCAACTTACTTTAACAGTAAATATTTTAACCGGTGTTTTAATATGGAGTTTGACAGACTATGCTATAAATAAATGTAAGATGGATCAATCCAGGTTAAAAGTATTTAATAATAAATTGCAATTCCTGGAACGAGAAATAACAATTTTATTGTCCTATGAGATCTTGTTTGTCTTTTTTCGCCTTCTTAATCGTAATGTTTGTAATGTTCAGAATGATTCGGTTTCAGTTTTTTTTTAATTTTTACACAGAATTATTCAAAACTGGTATTCCATTGTTTGTTTTTACCCATTTCCCAGGTTAATTGCATTGTTTAAATGTTGTTTATTAACATTTGTGCAATAATCATAAAACTTTGTTTTTGTTGAAAATAGCTGGCTGGTATAATAATACTGTGCTATAGCGGACAATCGGCGACCATAAAAAGATTATGTGGCAATATCACCGATCCAAACACTGTTAGTGTGGCTTGATCGAATTAAGCAAGACCGCTGCTTGCCAATATCGGAATGAGCACCGCTAACCACTTTTCGTGGTATTCAATGCATAAAACAAAGGATGGTAGGTACATTAAGCACGTGAATGATATGGCAAGGTAAACTGAAAATGATAACAGTTTCTGTTTTAAATAGGCAATTCTAAATTGTAGGTATAAAAATTACAACGAAATCGCGAAGAGCATCATTTACGCAATCTCGCTCCAAATCCCAGAATAGGAACCGATCTTAAATAAAAAGAGCGCAAATACCTAATAGACTAAGAGCTAGTGAACGCCNTTTTGATTTTGATTTGTGGGCTTGGTGGAGAGTGGAGACGCTCTTTGGCTGACAGTTTAAAAATAACTTTGTTTACATACAAAATCGAAAAGATATTGAAAATATATTGGAACGAAATTATCTCAAACATGGAATAAACAACCTAAGTTAATCTCATATGAATTTTGTGAAAAGTTCTCCTTTTATATTTCGTCATCTTTTACATGTTACCTGACCAACAACCAACTTGTGTGATTTTCTCAGGATGTTTCATAACAACATGAAGAATGCTTAATTTTTTGTTTGTGTCATGTTGACGAGAATGAACGCATAACCTGAAGGGTGCGAAGCAGTATTTTATCCAACAGACTACCGCTTCTTTAACTTGATAATATTCGCGATATAATAAATCATACCAATACCGTGTAAAGTATTATTTTTCCTCACCAAATGTTACGAGGTGATTACAAAATATAAAACCAGGTGCCAGTAGCTAAAAATTATGCTACAAAGTGTTAGACGCGAGTTTAAAATGTAAGGTGCGTTGAAAAATGTGATGGATCGATATTAGGGATGAAACATACTTCGTGCGGTTATGATTCAGTGGTGGTTTTCGTACAGGGTAGCAATTAGTGGTAATCGATCTCGCAGTTTACGCCTGCGCGTATATGGTATGGGCGGGGCGGCGCGGGCGCAGAGCGCAGAGTGCATTCACTCGCAGCTAATTTCTCTATCTTTAGCCCACGGTGTAAGTGAACTCGGTCCTGCTACCGAGTGAAGAGAAACTGCATAGATGCGTCCGGTTTGCTCACGTCAAAGATACTTCCCTTTAGCTATCTAGGATCGCGAGCGAGCCTCGACTCGTGTAATTGAGATAGCCGAGTACAGGTAGTGATTTATGATTGAGCACTGTGTGTGAAGTTTCTAAGGGGCATCAAGTTTGCTCGTGGAAAATTTCATAAGACGTGTTGTGAAAGATGATTTAGACTCTATCGCAGAAATTATTTTCATACTTTTTTCAATATCAGACCTAGTTTATCAACTATTTAGAAAACAGTTCAATATGGATCATCGATTCGATTTGAAATAACTGTCACAGAGATGTGATTTTAAGATTGTTTATTTCAAATCCCGTACAAATCCGATAGAGGTCGAAAGTAGATCGTAATAACCGGATGATTATATTGGCAACAACTGTAATAAACAGCAATAATTTTCAACTGGAGTAGGTGTTGCAATGTCGCTGGAGTGCAACGGTACATAGCACTGCAGATCAAGCTAGACACTGAGGGATCTTATGTAGTTGTAATAGAGACGATTGTACAACAAAATGTAAAGTCTGATGAGCTATCGCTTTAAGTACTTGTACCGGCCTATTTTTACAAGTTGAACTTGCTAGGTAACTGCGCTATTGCTTTTAAATGCGTAACTAATTGTTACAATAATCAAGCAGCGCATAAACAAAGTATCACATTGGACCGGTACCGATTTAGGGCATCCATCAATAAACAAGTAAAGAGTTTGAATATCTATCCAAAGGTAGAAAATCAACATTTACTCATGCAGACATTGTAGATATCTCTCCCCTCTTCAGTCAATCCCATTACAACTGTCTACAGCATTTTTGCGCACGGGTTATGCATAGCTTATTTTTATTGCTTTATGACCTAGAAATAAGAATAACAACAAAAAATTGTTCTGAATTTGCTTTTATGTGTAAAAAATAGAAAAATTCATATCAATGAATGTATGAAACGTGAACATAGAGATGATTCAATTGGTTGCCAAATATATTTTTTTCTTTCTTTCTTTCATTCTTTCTAATTATTAAAACATACCAAACGTCCATTTAAGATTAATTCTCACAAGAGAAAATTTAAAATAGAGTCCAAATATTTATTAAAAATGAAAAGTTCTAATTTCCTGTCATGTTCCATAGAAGATTTTTCGCATAAAAATCTAATCCTATCATGCTTTCAGTTACTGGCCTTGGTAACGTCGTCTCTCAAATCTCACTATATTTTGATGAAAGCGTGCCCCTTGTTCTTGCGAATAAGCCCCCATAATTATTTATAAATATATCCCAATGAGAATGGGACGTGCATCTTTAGAGACATTCTACTATGAAGATGGAATATTCAAATCGCTATAACTTCTTAAAAAGCAAATATTTTCGATTTGTAATCGCACTTTTTTATATATAATCAGAATATAATAAGTATTTAAATCCATGCGCAAAAAAAAAATTTTTTTGTTGACCGGTGTTATTAACAAAAGTTTCGTAGAACTCTCTTGATTTGAATGATTACAGCATTTACTATCTAATGATGCATTTATTGCAATTGTATCTATTAAAAAATCACATTCACGTTAATGATGGTTAGTTACATGAACGTGTGAATACCGGCTAGATATAATAAAACAAAGCATCGCACTCGGCGCGGTTTCATTTACTTTTTACTGCTGCCTTCAGCATTTTACTCTTTTAAGTTTTTCTTTAGAACGCAGAGGTGCAGGTACTTTGCAGCCTCCACTCGTACTAGTAATTACGGTCTGAACTTTAAACGACTTTTTGCCTACTACAGTCTACACGACTCATCAAATAACGTGTGTTCACACTACAAGTTCGTTAACTTTCGCTCGTTTAGTGAGAGTCAGATAGTATTAACCACTTACTGGTAAATAAACGCGTTCGCTAAAAGTTTTAATAATATCACTGCAGCCAGTCTTACGATCGCGCCATAAATTAGTTTTCTATTGCGCCTTAAAAACCTCCGCGGAGTTTCTTTTTACTATATTAGGACATGGCTCAAGCTGGTCTCGCCGGTATACATATTATGTCTGCCTTACGTAAGTGATATTTGAGACATTTGGATGTGATAGTAAAATAAGACGTTATCTTTTACATGCAACGTAACAATTCCTCCTAAATTCTAACGACACATAGTCCCAAATTGATGTAATATCTACTTTATTTTTAAACTGGCTTCCTTCCGCGACTTCGTCTGCACAGATTTAACTTACTTACTTAAAACTTCTTATATTGAGTTCTCCAAACACCCCCTCTAGTTCTAAAAGTTCTTTGTGCCAAAGTTCAATAAAAGTAATTCGACGTGAATTGTAACCAATTACAGACAAATGGATTATTTTGATATTTGTGTAGATCGCAATATTTACCTAGTGAAAGACTTATCTAGTAATCTTTAAATTCTGGAAACTGGTACTGTTTGAGTGAAGTTAACTCGTTAATAGTTTTTTTACGAGGACCCGTATGTTACGGCGTCCAGTTGTTTGGTTGTTACGCAGTGGGCACATTTGTTGAATTTAGTCCAACGCATCAAACTGTTTATT